GATAACTGGACAAGGACCCTGTTTACTGACGAAACTGCATTTCAACTCTTCAGAAACACTGTTGAACATTGGTATAATAATAAGGGTCCAAGGCCTACTTGCCCAATACCAAAGGATCGAACTAAGATTTTTGCTTGGGGAGGAATTTGCATTAAGGGTAAAACAAGTCTCTTTTGTTTTAAAAATATTATGGATGCAAATTTTATGTAAAAATCTTAGAAAAACATATTCCAGAGGTTAATAAGGAGGGATTTTATGAGCATATGGGGGTTTTAGTATAGTATTTTAATTTTGTGTTTTCTAGCAAGTGGCAGCTCATAACTCATAAATTGCGCCGTCGATGGTTTCCAGGGTCAAGGTCGTCTTCCCTCGTCCCGTCTTTTTGGTAATTTTATTTTCATTTCGGGTTTGGTCTCCGGTTGCTGAACTTAGTCAGCCCGAGCGCTGCTATTGTTGCTGCTCCTTTTACTCTCAGTCCTTACTTGCTCTGTTCGGTTGCTACTTGTCAGTGAACGGCCGGACGGAAACAGTGTGCTCATAAGTGCTATTTGTATTGCTAGGTGCTACTCCCCAATTAATTTCCTCATTTACTCAGGATAGTAATTGAAAAACTATTTATCTTGTCGGTGGCCCCTGCTGCCTCGTCACCATGCCCTTTTTTGTGTTTTTTAATATCTGTTTGTGTTTTTTTTATCTGTTTGTGAAGAGAAAAAAAGCAGGAAGAATTGGATAGGCAGTCTTGTATGGTGACGTTAAGAAACTGTGCGGCCGTGTGGCGGGGCCGTAACTCCACTTTGGAGTGGAGTTGCCAATTCAAACTTTTTCATCACAGGAGGGGCTCGTTTGTCTCGTTCTTACTGCGTTTCGCTGTTTACTTTTAAAAACTTAGTTGTATCAGACCGGCCATATCGACATTGAGTGGGTATAAATAAGCGAACCGCTGTAGCGAGTTAGCCTGGCGATATTACAGATCAACCTCCTAATAATCCAAGCGAGCCAACAAATATAAATTTTTGACTGAATGGGGGGTATTTTAAGAAAAAAGACTGGCCCAGGGTTCCGAATTGCTACTCACTCTTTTACTCGCGAGGAGGTTGGGCCAAAAAAGATGAAATTCGTCATTTTGAAAATGTAGGCTGGGTGAAATATTAATTCTTAACCTGATACATTATGAAGTGTTCATCGATCAACGAATTAAAGAAAAAATAAAAATAAAAAAAAAACAAACAAACAAACAAACGAAATAAAAAACGAAATAAAAAACACAAAAAAACTTTTTTTATTTTGATTATTTATTAGCAATCGGGTTCACCTTTTTCATTTTTTTTAGGATAAAGGTAATAGTAAGAGAAAAATTGTTAATTTTTTGTATAATAGTAGCAGTATATTGAGAGAGTTTACTAGCTACCCAAGGGATTAAGTTCCGTAGGCATTAAGGATCTCTAGATTGCAATTGACATTTTAGTAAAATTTATAAACTTTTATTAATTATAATTAGTCCATTCTTACTTAACTCCAAATATCTCAGTGAATGCCTAACTTATCTTTTTTGTATTACTATTACAGGATGGCAGGTATGTGCTCTACTGTAGGGGTTGTCGACACACCCACCAGCATGAGCACCATAATTACCACCACCATCACCACTATGGTGCCGCGGCAGAAGCGGAGTTAGCCGCAGCCGTGCGTTCCATTAAGGAGGAGATAGTTGCCTCCATAAGGGCATTGAGGGATGGGGGGATATGTATAATTAATGGAGTGATACTCCTCCTCTTTGTTATTATTATATTAATAATCTGTTCATTATTAGCACCAAGTAGTTGCTGTTTTAAATCTTTGTTTTGTTGCTCTAATCTACCCACATAACTCTGAGACATTATTTCTGTTATGGTTGGAGTTTTAACTGGTGGCTCATCTTTCCTTAAATCACAGAAGCAATTGTCAAGATCCTTTTTGCATTCAGCACAGATATAAGCAATGTCACTATAATTATTGTTACTAATATTGTAAGATAATATTTTGTAAGTAGCATTTAAACTTCTTTCTTTTTCAAAAGAGCAAAAATTGCAAAGTCATTTATCTCCTCTTCTTAACTCAATTATCAATAGCTTGGTATTCTAATTTTATTATTTATCCTTCTTAAGATGTAAGTGTTGAACTTCTCTTGAGTTATTGCTTTTGCTTGCTTAATTCTGCTTTTTACTAGGAGTTTAAATATTAAGATACGCTTTTTGACAAGTGGCGTATTACGATCTCAGTAATAAAATGTTCGCTTATTAGTGCGCGTTTTCTTTTTAAGACGTTGACTAGCCGTTTCTCGACCATTTATTGCCTTCAGTTGGGCCATTAAAAATCTGTCTTGTTCGGATCTAGAGAGAACTTGAAACGCCTCACGTAATTTGGCAAACTTTTCTCTTGGAATCATTTTGAGCAACCACAATTGCAACTTATCTCCAAGAAACATTGTTTTTTCATATTCGGTTGAACCGTTATAATTATCATTTTTCATATACAGGGGATCCTATATATAATTTTATTACTTGTGTGTGTACAGCAATACTTGGGTGGCAGCGCGGTAGAATTCCATCTGCCAAGTGCGTTCTAGAAACCGCTTGTCTTTGCCAACACCGAATGAGTTCTGTAGTGTCTGGGGGTCCATGACAGTAAAGGTGTCGATGAGAAAGGTTTTTAAATCCTTGGGAGCTTCTGTTGCCCTGTTGGTAGATCCCCAGCGTTCCTGCATGTAAAGTATACACAAGTAAGGTGCAGCAAACTCGAGTCTTTCATTTTTTTTCGATAAGCACATTTGTTTTGATCAGACGCTTCAATTCACTTGTGACATCCCTGATATGAACAGAATATATCGAAACACATTATCACAAAGCAATTTTTCATCATTCCTCAGATGCTCAAGCCTCGTGTATGCACGGACACCCTGAAAAAAAAACAAACAATGAGTGGAATGATACAATATTGTCATTATGCAACATTATAGTTAAAGCAAAAAAACACTCACATCGTCTCGAAGAAGATATTGTTCTAACAGTTGTGCCAGCGAAGTCTTTCCGGCCATAGGCGGCGATCGCACAAGCAGAAGATAGAACCCTACGGATGGATTCTGAAGCACCTATACCTACTCTTGTTGTATATGGCAGCGCAGTCTTCTCTCGACCTGTGCAAAAAAAAAGAGTTAATTGTAGATGGGTTAGCATAACAAAAATGGAAACGTCATGTTGAAAGAGTTCGGGAAAGCATTTCGTTGCCACGAAATGACGTAATATATATATTAGACTGCCTCTTATTTACTCCTTTTATCGCTGTAAACGAAATTGTTTACCAGTAACATTCGCTGTATTCTATCTATTATATGTCTACTGCGCACGTAACAGCATTCGAACTATTCTCTCACCATTGCTCATACTCTACTCCTCCCAACGCATGTCGTAATGCATTCCAACTATTCTCTCTCCATTACTGCTACGAACCCCGTAATTTCTCTACGACGCAGCTCTGCCCCAACTAATAATGCCCTCTCTCTTGTAATATAGCACAAGTAACAGTATTCAAACTCTTCTCCCCGTTGCTCCTCTATCCTCCCAATAAACGTGTGTCGCTTACCTTGTTGTTTCTGGTATGCCTTAATGATATCGTCGTCTGTAGCATTTCTGTTCTTCCTTAAATGTGAAGCAATAAATGAACCGGGAATAATTTCCAAGATAAGTGGCATGTTGTCAAGTTATGAGAATGATAACAAAAGAGTCGCGTTCTCTGCGCCGCCCTGTTTATACGTTTTACTTACACAAACACGTGATACTCCTTCGTATTGATCAACTACAGGTGCCAGTCCAGCACATAGATCGGACATGTATTACGTGTTACGCGAGAAGAGTTTGAGTTGCTAAATTATAAGAAATGGAAGTGTTAATATTGTAATATGTAATTGACTTCAATTATTGACTTCATACCTGCAACTGAAACCAAATTATGGCTATTTCTTGGTATAGGCAATTTTCCAGTAGGTAAGAGTGTGCTGGAATATTTACTCTCTTTCTCGAGACGTGATAATGGTTTTACATCATTATGATAAACGGCATTCCGCATGTTGTCACCAGAATTGTCGTTGTCTGCTATACAAAGCTTGTGAATATCCCTCCTCCAAAGTGTCCATGCATCAGAACACTTATCAGGATCAGCATCACAACACCGCTCGGCAAGTTTCTTGTATGCCTCTGGCGCAGAATCAGGCATCGACGGTCGCAGTCCCTCACAAACATGTATCGCCAAACATTTGTCAAACGACCAATCTCTAAATGGTGGTTCACCAGTAGCAACTAAATACACAATGATACTAATACCCAATGAATACGCATCCGATTTCTGAGTAAACTTGCAGGTATGGAAGACGCCCGGTGCAATAAACGGCAAAACGCCTCGAATGGTTGGATATGACTCGCGTAAATTTACTGATTGTGATCGCATTTATCTTACGCGTATTGGCATTCCCAACAATGTTTCACCACGAAGATCACAATGCACTAATCCGCATCATGAATAACGGTCAGATAAAATGCAATATTATCCAAATAATGTAGTTTATCCATCCACGTCAATTTGTTAATAATTTGAACCAAATAAGACAAAAGACTACCATTGCTAGCATATTGCATAACAATTATGTCTCTGGGTCTTGTGTGACTCCATAAATTTTAAGGAATAAAGATTTCTGAACTACTAACAAATAATAAATAAGTCAGCTTAAATATCAATTTAATTAATAGTACCAATTATTGCTTACTATTACCTCATAAATAAATAATCCGGCATTTTTTCAAAAATTTTAAATTGTTTAAGTACAACATACACCATACTTCAGAATGCTTTTTATACTTGGCAGTATAAACTGTTTCG